CTCCTAAAACCCGAACTCTTTCATGGCATGCATTTTTAATTTCTCTTTGCTATTTTGACTTTATCGTGTTCTTTAGTATTTGGCGTCTGAACACAGCAGCATTTTTCCCGAGTACAAAAACAAAATGAGAAACAACAATTGTGCCCCTTTGAGCAACGTGGCTCATTTGAACGAGCAAAACTTAGTAGTGTGGTCCAGACCAGCAGTCGCTAACATTTCTTGTACTACGGACCGGTTTATGTCCGACAATATTTTCACGGACCGTCACGCGGATAAATACAACAAAATAAAAGCAGTACCAAAAAAAGAACATTTATTCACAACACACGTGAAAAGACCCAGGTGACCCAAGTGTCCGATCTGTGTGTAAATCTGACAGTGTATCTTATTCCACGTTTACAATAGGTTGATGGTTTTGTGTCCACAGGATGTACTTTATAATGCTGTACAAACACAGTGGATTACGTCACTGTGGCATGTGTACGTGTTTCGATGTGTGTGCCCTGTGTTAGTACACACACGTTAGCAGAGGCGTGTTGTAAGCAGACCTTGAACCAGAGGATGTGGGTTCACCTTTACCTCCTTCCAAGTAAATGTTAAGTGGAAATCAAGAAATATTAGTCAGTGAACTAAACCGTCTAAGAGCAGTAGAATAAAGAGATAAAATATTTCCTGTGTACTTTGGACTGTGACAGGAAGCTTCTGACAGCAGCTGACTCACAACAGTGTGCCATCGCTCAGAAAGAGCAGCTCTGTGTAGGAAAGGCAGACATGGGAGGCAGCAAAGGGGAATGTTTCCACTCTGTGCAGAACAATAGTTGGCTGCCGGAACAGCACTGGAAAGCCTCAGCCTTTTTTTTTTTCCTATTCTCCTTCCCTGTCCCGCTGCTACACAAACACACAGTTGTGCAGGAACATTTGGGCCGTTCAGGTTACAGTAATGCACATGGAAATGCTTTCAGATCAGATGACCTCACGGTCACGCTGCGGCAGGCTGCCTGGATTTTTATATAAAACACAAACTTGTCTTTGGACTGCAACTGTTAATCAGCACTGTTATTGTAAGAGCGGATTTGTTACAATAATAAATCTGAATTCATACTCGGTTTGATACAAAAGCTCGACGTTCATTTATGTGTAAACAAATCGGTTTCAGTTGTTTACTCTTTGTGTTTTCCTTAAATATTTTACTGCATTAAACTGTTTGATTTGTTGTGTTTTGAAAAGTTTAAAAGTTTAATTTAGTTTTAGAAAACTTCACATAATTGAGAAACTGGTAAAGTAATAATCGAATGAAAAACATTTTAGTTTCAGCCCAACGTTTTCCAGAACCAGCCTGCACATCGGCACTGTTACATTTCTCCCTGTGACTCACCTGTGCACTAGTTTTTCTTGAGCTCTTTCCCCTGTCGCCCTCTCCGCTAGGTTGCACATTGAACAGACAGGAAGTTAGGCTGACTCTACACTATGAAAAAGGCTTCACCGTGACGAGGGAGCCAGCCGACCCGAGCGGGGGGGCCGTGCTGTACAGATACCCCTACGAGAAGCTTAAAATGTCTTCCGACGATGGAATACGCAACCTTTACCTTGACTTCGGAGGTCCAGAGGGAGAAATGGTAAATTGTAGTAAAGCAACTTGTCAGTTTATGAATGCATTGTGAGTGGAAAATCTTTTTAAACCTAAGACTGTCAAAAATATTCCTAAATCTCAGCTTTATTAAAACTTTTGCGTCATGCTGAAATATTTATGTACCAAATATACCATGTGTGTGTATATAAGAGATGGTCGTAGCTGCCATGTCGTCTCCGGTTAGTTTCTGAAGT